ATAAATAACGGACAGTTCAGCTGTCACTTTTCTAAACACTAAAACAAAAGAACTCATTATCTCGCCATAAATGTCATTCGAAGACAAATCATTTACGAGGCCACGTGAGACCGCGAGTCTTTTTCTTGAATTTTTGCTTAGAAAAATAATAAAACATGTCATCTGTTGCGTGTCACGAACTATCAAAGTGGGTCCATTACATCCATGCGCCGCGCAGAAATCGTCTTAATAAAAGATTCTGTAGACGCGAGTATTTCGAGATTGAGATCTGTCAGACTTTTTAAAATAAATTACGCCACGGCGCATATCCACATATGCTTGACATTATGAGAATAGGCAATTAAAGGCTCTGGCCTCTTTCAAAGCAAGCCTTTCAGAAACGGTAGATCGTTCATATATTGAAATTTTGTCAGAAAGCCATGTTTCTTTAAATTGGTGTCAATGAGGTGGTTATAACCGCAGGATGTCTGCCATCTTTTGGGCCATCTGCTTTACCCAAGACTCACGTCAACTCACTTCTCTGTAAATTGCGTATCTGGGGCATTTAACAGGTTGCACCGCCTCTATATAACCAGCCTAAATTACGAGGAGATAATTTTACCAGTAAGAGTAAGTGCACATTTCTTGTCCTCCCCTGCGTGTACTCTGTGCATCGTGTTTACCCTCGGTTCCCAATAAAAGTAAAAAGTTCTTTTTTGATAAGTGCAAACCATTAACGAGAGCGGACCGACCGAACAACCCATGCGCCGCGTTGCCTTCGTTTGACCACTTACTGCTCAAGATTGGAGGCCCGAAGATTCAGTTCAAACTCAACCTAACAGAACGCCACTTCGCAAATCATAGAAAAAGGAGAGTAATTTGACTTAAACCTCCTCCATATTCCCAAACGTTCTCCGGAGATCGCATTGGGTCTTTATCCCAGGCTACAAAGATTGAGTTTCTTAGCCTAAATTAAAAGGACTGACGGGCGCACACGGCTCGGAATTGTGTTATAGTGAGTCGTATGGCACACTGACCTAATTCCGAACCTTAAAAACATAAGTGCGTTCGACTGTCTCTTAATTGGGTCGCACACCGCAGGGCGACGACCCCGAGAGAGCGGTGTCGATTACATTCATCCGATTATAGGCCTCCTCCTTGATCCAGAAACTTCCTACGAAATAAAGAATCTTGAGACTTGGACGTAACATATTTATAATTAGAATATAATAAGCACAAACAGTAACTTTATATAAGAAGGAATTTACATAGTGCAAAGTTTTTTTTCCAAATGACGTAATCTTATTCAATGGATGTAAAATTTCCTATTTTACTACAGATTTTCTTATTGTATAAAACAATTTCAGAGAAACGAGACAGCAACAATTCTTTACAAAATGTCCAACAACAATCTCGATGAAGAAGAACGTGAACAGGTAAATTATTACAACAAAATTTTAGTAAAATTTTAACTATTCTATGTGCGTAAATTTATTAGCGCACATAAAAGAAGAGGACACAATCATAAATTATATCGTATAATTATGCAAGAAATTGGAAAATTTTATAAAACAGCAATTATATTATACTCTTACATGTTAGGATACTTGCATACTACATACTAATGCTCTACGATAGGTATGTAAGAATATAAAAGCTAGAAGGGCGCTTCCCACTTCCCACGCACCAAGCTAATGATGGCGGATATTCGGCAGTAATAGGCTGAAACAAACGCGTTTATTCGGCTATCTTTAAGGTTTAATATCTCGTTAAATATTGCGTAAACTGCAAAATGGTATTTCGACTCAATTCAGTTTACACTACCTGCTCTTGATAGGTGATTTAATGATACCCTGTATGTATAAGCAACTAAGATCCGTTAGACTATTATAAGCTTCGATTCGTATTAGTTATTGTTACATTGACGGTTCTTTAAAATTTAATATTGTTTGATGTTATATCCAATTAGAGTTATTTTTAATAATTTCTGTAGATGGTCACGAATTTTTTTCAATGTGCCATTAACTTAATTGAAACAATGGAATTGAATAATTTAACAGTTAACTAATGAAAAGATATTAATTTTGACTCAAATTTTGTTTACTATTTTATAGCAGTATATAATAATATGAACGCTGTTTACTCTGAAACTTAAAATATAGTTTAATTTTTTCATATTAAAGTTAAAAATAACAAAATGTTAATTAATGTATGAGATTGGGAATTGTTTATTTGATAAATAACCAATTGATGTTTTATAATGTCTTTTATTTTTTTACAAATCCATTTAATAGAATTTGTAAGTGTTCATACTAAATGACAGTGCATAATTAACATTTAAATTACAGTAATTTACAAACATTTTTGTTTTAAGACAAAAATTAAAATCAAAAATAGAACTCTCGAGAATGTCAAAATCAATAAACAAAAACAGGCTAATGAGAGTCAAAAACTGCGGTAATTAGTACGAATTAATAATTATTTATTACATATACTTATAAAAATAATTCAATTAAATGAATTATTTTTATAAGTATATGTAATAAATAATTATTAATTCGCACTAATTACCGCAGTTTTTGACTCTCATTAGCCTGTTTTTGTTTATTGATTTTTGTTTTAACTACTTTAGACCAGACTACGTGTGTCTTATAGATTTTTAGAAACAATGCCGCAAGCGAAAAAATTCTAACACGTAAGGATTTCCAAAATAATTGAGATTTAATATTTTAAAAATGATGAATACAATTATTCGTACAGGCTCTCGAAATTTAAAATTATTTAATATACGAACTATGAGAGCAAATAAAACAGCGCGGTAATTATAAAGCTCTATTTCAATTCAATTAGATTTTAGAAATTTACAACTAATGTGTTAAGGCTGGTGGATCGAGGAAGTAAGCACAACACATTATGTATTTCGCCGTATTACAATGAAAGTCAGCGTCTTAACGAACTTCTAGGAGATTATTCTACTCGTTATCGCGTGTACGACTCGACGCACGCGAATTCGAGAGATTTATAATAATGGCGTACATATCTCAAGCATTCATAAAATCATCGCCAGTGGTGCTATCGCTATAATAAGTTGTGACGTTGGAGCAAAAGCGCATCATGCGCGCGCTCGCGTCATTGTTTAAAGTGATTTTAGCATTACCCATCCTGTACCACGCGGAAGTATTACTTCAACATCTTTAATCCTTCATAACATGGCTAAAAAATAAGTTATTGAAATTTTTTAAAAATGTCTGCAAAAAACCATTTTTTAAATTAAACCTCAATTATCTTGAAAATCTGATGTGCTAAAATTTTTTCGCTTGCGGCATCATTTTCAACATCCAAAAATCTATAAGACATATATAGTTCGTTTCAAAGTAATTTTTTACTGTAAACTAATAATGTTATTTATTTCAACTAGATTTTTCAATTTATATTGCAAATAAAACAAAGAGAGGTAAAATTTGGCATGGGAAATTTCCATTTTGGATATAATTTTGTTCGTCAGGTACGTCCTACATTGAATAAAAGTATATTAGTATGTAATAAACAATAATTGAATAATTACATCGATCCTACGCAAAATACATAAATGTTTAAACAACATCATAATTTTTAAATAATTTCTGATTTAACGATTTATGTATACTTCATTTTCATTTTACATATTCAAAGTCTTCGTTAATTATTTTCATTTTGATACAAATATTTTCATTAACGGTAATGAAAGCTAATACTTTTTTCAGTTTTACGGTGCAGTTTTGTCCTTCCTGATAGTTTTAATACAGGTATATGATTCATAATAGACCTTCTATTCTCTCTAAAGGCCTCTGTACACGGTTAGTAATACTGTCAGTATCAATGAATATTGACAATATTATTGATTGTGTGTGGTTAATATTAATGGATTGACGTAGAATACTGACGATGATTTGGATTTAAATACATACTATTTCCTTAAGATCCATGTCGCCATAGATAATAATAGATATACGTTAAATCACGTCAAACCGAAGTGAAATATTATCAATAATGATAATCTGATCGTATAAGATTGTAAAAACTAATGCATACTGTCAGTAATATTAAAGACTCATTGTCAGTATTACTGCCCGTGTAGGGAGGCCTTAATGCATAACAAAAATGGTTTGATTTAACGTATATAGTTAAATGCATTTTGGTTAAACTTAATATAATTTCTGGTTGTTATATGACGAATTTGAGATTTTATAACTATAACGATTAGTGCTAGATTATAAGTATTGTATTATAACATTGTACTGTATTATAAAAATTTGTTTCATACTTTTTAGATGGATTTATTAGACCGTTTTGATTATTAAATGAGCGTAATGTCAGTTTCGTATTTCGATTAACGTTAAACTTAGATCACGCTCTAGTAGTTCGATAATTGTGCCAGTCAATGAATGTCGTAGGAGCGTGCTATTTTATGTGACGTTCTAGCCTGGAGTGAAGTGGAACGTAATGATTTATGCCATGATGAGAAAACGACTTCTCCTTAATTTTCAATGTTATTTTTAGTATATAAAAGTTATTGCAATAGATTAATTTGAATTTCTGTTATATTGTTTTGCAATTACTTGATAGCATATAAGATTATATAATATTATAAATGAGTATAGTGCATTCTATTTCACGACGAGATATCATTAAGACGTTCAGCACTTATGGAAATTTGCATAACTATTAAAATTTAAGTTATTAAGAATAGTAAATTGATAATATGGTATATAACACTACATGACTAATAATTGAACTAAAGTTACACTTGTGAGCTCTGTACCTGTATATACAAAATCACAAAATATATATATACATGCATTACCAAAAAAATCAGTTTAAATTTATTATGTAGTTATAAAAATAATATATAATAAAACACAGAGATGTCCGAGTAAAATTCTTCTATATTGAAAATTTTGCAGAAAATATTTAATAATAGCAATATTAACATTTTATTGACATATTTGATATATATTACAATAGTAAACAAGATGGATACACTACACAAATCTAGATGCAATCGCTAATAATTTAGTATAATCTGCTCCTTTGCTATAAGTCTTTTCTTTCAATTTTGTTCGTAGAATATGTGGAATGGGCACTTGTATTCTTGTACCTAGAGGTGTGCCATTGTCGTCTATGAGTACCAGATTATTGCTATCAAACTTGGGAACTTTAGGGGCCTGTTGCTGCTTCAATCCAACCAATATACCCTTTTTCTTTTCACCTTTTATAGCAACTAAAATTCTATCACCTAAATAATTGGTACAGCAATATTTAGATAAATTTAATTCTATAAAATAGTAATATATTTTATGCAGTCTTTCATTTATTGTCTCACCGATGTATCCTACTCCAAGTTTATTGTATACATGTATGCAACGTGGTGGTCTACCTTCCATCATAGCTTGCCTTCCTATCTCGCTGTTATCCACTACTCTCAATCGACTCAATTTAATTATCTGACCAATAGAGGTTGTAGTAGAAATGTTTCTGCTTCCGACATTAAACATTGCAAAAGGCGACAACATTATTGTTCCAATTTCTTCTTAGGAAAAACTAAAACATCAAAACTATAAAAATTATATGAAGTATTTAACAATATACATATTATAATAACATGCAATATAAACTCTCTCTTAGCAGAAAGAAGATAAATGACGTTAGAAACGGTAAGTTTAACGAACTTTAGTTACTATTTAGAAGAATTGTCTTACCTCCGATTTTAATGAAATTAGCCTCAATTGACGCGTTTTTATACAAAGTAAAAGAATCTGGCCGAAAAGAAGTGCGGACTGCGGGACTGCCGTACGAAGCAAGATATTAATTGTACAAGTTTGCTTTGCTATAATTGAGGTTACAATTACGAAACCTGTCAGATCGACTTAATACTCGTAAATCTGCACTCTTCGTGCACTCCGTGCACTCTTCGAAAGTTCGAACTGTGGGTGCGATCCACTTGACGCTACAAATGCTTCGAAGCTTTTGACTGACCAATCAGAAGAAAGAATTATACCAATTGTCCAATCAAAAAATGTTTCGAAGCATTCGTAGCATCAAATGAACTGTAGCCTGTATACACCAACTACACTACCAGAGGTTCAGACAGTGCAGGAATAAAGGAAAGGCCTGTGTAGCATACTGCGCACGCGGTATGTAACCTCTGCATTATTTAGTTAGGATATCAAACCTAATCTAAAATAATTAACGGTGAGCAAGTGCGACAACGAGACTCGTTGTTATCATCATGAATATGGTATATCGTCTCGAGAGAGCGTTGATGCGTTTACGATCCCTCGGCGTTCTGAGATCGAGTTCCCTGTCCACGAGATGTTTCAGCACGAATAAAGATTCAGAGGAACAAAGCAAGGATTCATCTTCGTCCGTAGAACCAAACGAGAAGGAGCCTACGATACAAATAAAAGAAAATGCAGAAGCAATTCAGGAGTCTCAGACGAAATTGAGTGGTTTTGCACAAAGTTACGAAAAGTTCTCACACATTGACGATAAAAAGCCAGAAACGCCACAGACGTTTGTTTCCTTAATTCGCAACTCCAAACTTGTCGATGTAAATTCCTCCTTTTAGTGTGTATTTATTTTAGTGTGTAATTATTTGACTGCTCTTTATTCAATACATAATTTTGCTTTCAGTTGGGTGATCCTGAAGGAAAAGTCGTAACTGGTGAAATATATCATGTGGTTGGTGATGATCTGTATATTGATTTTGGATGGAAGTTTCACTGCGTTTGTCAGAGACCTGTCAAGAATGGACAGTATGTGTAAATCTGTTTTTCTTCAAAATATATCTTATTTGTTTAATAATATTCACTGCATACCAACCAAACAATATATGAATACTGTCTTAAATATTATTTTGTTCTTTAGATACTATGTGAGAAGATCTAAGGTTCGATTAAGGATAAAGGATTTGGAACTTTCCTCCAGGTTCTTAGGTGCTGAAACAGATATAACTCTTCTAGAAGCTGATTGCACTTTAATTGGCTTAATATCATCACCTTTACAAATGGCAGAACAAAAGATGAAGACAACCAGAAGGCCAAGAATATGAAATATTTAATAACTAATATTAATTTTAATATCTATGTTAAATAAACTATAGAAGATGTACATGATATGTATGTAAATAACATTTTTAGCAAAACTGTTTTGTACAAAGTAATACTGAATATATGTATATCATATCGTTCACAATCTAAACATATAATTGTGTAAGAGCTGGACCAAGAAAAAATCTCGAACGCGAAGCCGGGACTCAAACCGAGGCTTCGAAATAGTTAGGATTAGCAAGCCACTCTTCCCACGGAGCCACAGCCCGACGATATTGAAGGATGTTTATTTCCTATAATTGTTTAAAAATACATTTGCTACTCAACAAATCATAAACAATTCGTATATTCTACAAATTCTATAAATCTATAAAACAATTTACAACGTATATTCTACAAAAATATGTATATTCCATTATATTTATATTATATATTTTCTATTATGTAGTATAGGAGCAAGGGTATATATATAAAAGAGAACGATAATAGATCGAATTAGATTGAGATAAATTCAGATTTTCGGAAATACATATATTCGCAAACGGCGAAATTAATCCTTTGCAATCCGAATGTGTTTTTATTCTTTTATATGAATTGGATGAAAGACATTTGACATTTCCGTACCTTTCAATCTAAAAATAATAGCTTTTCTGTGCCTCGTAAATAATTAATTCAAAATTTTAAATAGAACGTTTGTGGTACCAGCCATGGTGGATACTTCCACCATGGGTACCAGCAGTTACGAGACCCTGATTACCAATGGGTTTTCGGGATATTTTTGATGGTCATAAAAATTTACTCAGGATTGACGGATTTTTAACAGATACTTTTCATTTGATACAAATAAACAAAAGCGCAGCCGTTCGATCTTTGAGTGCGCTCCATTTGACACTAATGTCAATGTCAAAATTTTAGACATTTGAACTTCACATCGAGATATCTTCCTTCATAGGGTACGTAGAAAATAAAAACATATTTATATAATATAATTTAAACAGAAAAACTAAATTAAGACTATTTAAAAGTTGATAAATTCAGCCATTTATTGTGAGATCCGATAATCTCGGGTACAAAGAACGCATCGACTCGCGTAAAGATACATTGTGCGGTCTCGCGCTTCGTGTTCACTTGGCGCGAGACACTACCGTCTCTTGATAATGTAAACTATATATAGCATATTAACGCACTAATATCGTTATAAGCATATTCTGAATGAGCTATGAATGAGCCCATATATGAATTAGCCCAGTGAAATGGGAAGAAATTTATCGATATGGAAGAAATAATAGTTATAGCTCAGAAAATTTGTGAACAGACTTGTTTTGTGCTCCCTTTGAAGTGTTCAAAAGTCCCCACCCGTACCCCCCCTCTGAGAGAAATGGGGGGAAAAAAAGTGTCAAAAAAATCAGTTTTTCGAAAATAACTCAAAAAGTATCAATTTTATCAAAAATAAAAACGTTAAGAAAGTTGTAGCTGACAAAATTCCGCACATTTTCTTTTTTTATTTGCCTCTCTACAACCAATAGGAGCCGAGATATATTTTTTTAAATTTGACCTCTAAAATATTGACCTCTAAAATATATTCAACTTTTCCTTTGTCCTAAGCAATTACTATTTATTGTTAATACGTTATTATTGTTGTTGTTATTTATTTATTAATTTTATCAAAGATTAATTCCTTTTTTACGGTTTATATGAATGGAGAACTTTACTTATTCAGAATTAACTGAAAAAATTTATTCACAATTTTACATTTGTTATTTTCTCGTTGATCATGTCGTTTAGTTTACAACTTTTCAATCAATTTTTTACAAATTTTTGCAAACAAGAATACGTGCAATACGCAAACAGTATACATTTATAAATAATTTAAAAGATATTCGTAAGTATTTATATTTACTTTTGTGGCTTAGAGTCTGCACAGATCATTAATATATATATATATATTAATGATATATATATATATTACATGAATATATATATATTGTATATATTATATATTATATTAATATATATATATGTATATTAATGAAATGTATATTGTATATACACTCACAATTAGAAAGAAAAAGCAAAAAAGTTGGAAAAATTTACGAATCTTCAAATGCTCGTAACTCAGTAAATAACTATGATACAGAGGTATTTAAAAAACGAAAAAATAAAGTTTGAAATTTGAAGTTTGTACTTGGAGAAACATCTAATACCGATTGAGTGGCATTAATAATTTTCTAATGGCCGATGATAGAGTGAGGACCTGCAAAATTGACAAATAGAACCTTCCATTTCAAAGTTACACACAGTAAAGCAGTAGACGCAGCTGAATGGGATAAAAAGTACATGAAACAAAATCTCCCTATCAAAATGCGCTTTTACGGAATGTGATACGACAATTTTTTGCCAAGTTATGACATTAAAAAAAAAAAGTCTTCAATACGAAATAATAATAAATTATAATGCTCCCATTATCAATTCAAACCATCATCGCAATTCTAAGATGTTAATTGTCGAAATCCCATCCGTGTGGATGTGTGTGTGTGACACATACACAGCAGAGAGGGTTTGAACTCAATAAATGCGAAAGTGACAAACCGTGAGGTCCTTATCTCTGTTCTGCTTAAAAAACTGTTCTTTTACCTAATTGTCATAACTTGACGAAAAAAAATCGTATCGAGTTCCGTAAAAGCATACTTTGAAAGGGAAATTTTGAAATTTATGTTCTTTTTATCCCATTATAAGCTGCGTCTACTGCTTTACTACGTGCAACTTCGGAATAGAAGATTCTATTTGTCACTTTTGCAGGTCCTCAATTTATCGACCATGGAAAAATTATTGATCGCTCAATCGGCATATAAAGTTTCTCAAAAGTACAAACTTCAAGCCTCATTTTTGTTTTTTAAACATCTCTGTATCATAGTTTACCGAGTTACGAGCATTCGAAGTTTCGTAAATTTTTCCAACTTTTCTATTGTACCGTTTTTCCTTTGACTGATTGTATATTATAAATATTACAATAAATATAAATATTACAGTAAATGTTACAGAAACACTTCATAAAACATTATGATCATGGTAAAAAATGCTTGTTTGAAATATTTACTTATATTTATCATAAATATTACATAAAACATTTATTAATCAATTAAAAAAATGAATAGTAATAAATATATGTTAAAAATATTATATACTGTCCGCATAATGGTAATTTTGAAACTATCCAGGAGGAATGCTATTGGTTTGTAATCAGTATTCATATTTATCATTGTTCCTATTTCTCATTCCTGTTTTGTTAAAGCATGCAAAGCTTGTTCTCAAAGACGACTCTAATTTAAAAAATGTTTAGAAATTTTCACTCTTAGTCAGACAATATATTTCACGTTTCTATGATTAATATTTCAAGATATTGTTATTCGTAATAAATTTAACTATGAAAATACAAGGATTTATGTGTATATGTGAGTGCGTATACATATGTATATGTATATTTCTCAGAGATCAAACTTTACTTTGATCATCCAATTCTTCTTTGTAGTCTGGTTCACTTCCGTCATATTTTTCAAATAGAAGTTAAATAATCCACATCAATTTTCAAAGAACTCGTTCCGTCTAGTTAAGAACTTAATTCGACTTTCATTATCCAAGTTTTGAAAATCTTCAGTCTGGGTCACTTCCGTCACATTTTTCAAATAGAAGTTATAACAATAATTCGTCAATTCCTAAATAATAGACAACATACATGTAAGTAAATAAAATAACATGTAATATATATGAATAAATAATATATTTTTGTCACATTGAAAGAAAAGATTGGCTGCTTTATTAAATTAATAATAAAATATAGTACAGCAGTTTTAATTGGCTGCAGAAGCCAATTTTTTCTTGGTTACGATAGTCATACACAATAGCTGCTACGACCAAAAATTTATTGCACTGTCATATTCAACCAG